CATAGTCTTCAACACTTCGATGGTGGTGGTGGAGCATTTGTCACAGAAGCGGTGGAAATGGATATATGTGGCTTCCAGTTCACATTACGATGTCATCGGTAAGCTAAATACCGTGTTTTACTTTATATATTAACGTTTTACTTGAAACACCTAGTGAGACTGGAGCCCACATATGTACTCCTTCAGCTTCATACAGAGTGCAATTCTTTGCCGTTTATGTCAATATTTCTGTGGAACACGGCTTTAGTTTATTTCTAGTTAAAACCGGATTATTTTTTTTTCACAAAACAACTAGTTGGCATCTCTTTACTATACATGATTCTTTTACGAACCAACCATAATTTTGATATATATGTATTTTTATTGCATGCATATTACCGAATTGACACAATGCCTTCGATGAACTTCAAAGTAGTCGCTTAAATAAGAGGGGAATTCATATTCGGCAAAGACATCAACATAAAAAATGATTATTTATTAATGTAATATCGTACAATAAACCTCGCACTTATAAGCATAAACTATAAAAGTGATAATCGGAATATATTATGTTAATCATCTCAGAATACATGTTTAATCCACAGGTGTTCGGCACATTTGCCATGCCAATAATGGTCAAATAATCATAAAATAATCACTCCTTAATCATCAAAAACAAAATTACTATCCATCATCCGTTTACTATATAAATTATATACAAGGTATATATGATTTATTCGACACCAATACGTATCGAAGAAACAAAGGTATCAATTATTTTGCAAATGTCAGACTTTCCTTAAATTCACGAAGTCTTAATTTAGAAGGACAGGATAAATTTCCCATAACACCATAATTAATAAACAAAAATAATTGGGTTTTATTCAATAACTCAGGTACTTTACGTAAATACGCTTGTGAATTTAGCGTCGCCTGGCAAACATTGATAAAATGGCTTAAATGTTGTTAACATAAAAATGTTTCACGTAATCAGATATAATTGACCATATTTCATATCTCAAGTCATCCAACTTTTACACTATTTAACTTAAAGTTTATACATATACAAAACTGAGTAAAAATTTTCCGTCTCGATATAAATGTAATTTATTGAAGATCTGAATTAAAATTGTGCATCAGTTAAAAAAACAAACAAAACAAAACAACCTATTGTTTTCACCAGTTTGAGAAGAATTAGTTTTACTTCTTATTTCATCTTTAAAATAACTTAAGAAGTTGTAAGACAAAGCCGTAGATTAGGAATAATAATGATATGGAAATATAAGTAGTCATTTTATTCATAGTAGGCATACACCTGGTCAGCATTTCATTAATCGGGCATATCTTCACATTTCTTAGATTTCATTCGAAATATATAAATAAAGCAAAGTTAAATATTTTGAAAAATTAGTTTTTATTAATCTGGAGACATGTGTAGCCAAAAGAAAGTCTAAAGTTTCCCTCTCGTAACAAACATATTAAAGGGTTTGATTAAAAAAGGAGTTTCTCGTTGAATACCAACCCTTAAAAATCCCATTTAGTAATCTTCATCTGAATTGGGAAATTTTCAATATTTTGTGATTATATCAATTTGTAGCAATCATGTTACAAATATGTAATTATATATGGACTTTTGGCTTTATTAAAGTGATTTGTACATTACAGCTGGGATACCCGTTCATACTTGTTTAAATTTAAATACTTTTAGCATTGGTGATTTAATACTACTTTTAAAATTGGGGTGGGGAGGTGGGCAAGATAATAGTTCCATTACGTCTTTCAGAAAAAAAACTTCTTGTTTTTTTATTCATTTGGTCCCGGAGGTAAAACCTCATCAAGAATGATAAAATACTAAACTTCGGCATATAAGTTGACCTTATCACTGCTGTATTTTTTATCATTGTTTCCCCAATACATACTGGTACAAACATTATTTTAAGCCTACAATTACTACTACCATTAATGATGTTTTTATGTCTGTAATTCATTATTAATAGATATCCTCAGTGACATTAAAGGAATTAAAATTAGCATAAAGCATTAATGTTAATCCACTTTTGATATTACTATGACAGCTGTTATGGTCTAACAGTTTGATTCTTTGTACAGAACTATTAGACATACAAATAGATGTACGTGTAATTATAAGGAATATGATCAGGCTTTTTCGGTTATCAATTAATATAGAAATTGATATTGTTAAAAGGTAATAATTTTTTGAACCTATGTAAACGTTCTGTTCTACCATTATACAGTTAACACATGTAAAATCGCTTGGCCATGGTCGTCTGTCCAGGCCCCGTGTTCACTAGGATTTCAGTATCAGGATCAAAATCAGGATAAAAAACAAACAAACAAAAAGTCGAAATTTTTCACTGTTTATCGTCTTTTAATATTTACTATATAAAAGTAGACTTGAAATAGCATGTTTATGAAATTTTAGGAAAAAAATGTTATTACTTAACATGACTTGGGCATTTTCGTGATTGGTGCACTGAGGCAGCACTTGCTACTTCATAAAAAGTGTCTGAACCAAATTTTATCGGTATACTAAAAATGAAAATTAAGTTTTATTTAATAACGACGAAAAAAAAAGTCGCCTACAATACAGTACCCAGTTTTCATTCTCACAAAACATCATTAAAAGTAAAACTTTGCTGAAAATGTTTGCAATGCTGGTTAAAATATAATGTCTTAGCAGCCGTATGTGCTTATTCATTTCTTTTAATTTGTTACTATTGCACAATTCCTACGTTATTTCAAATTCACGTGTTACGGGATTGCACTATACACGATTATTTTACTATTATCATTTTTACTGAATGACATCATTGCAGAAATAAATATTTTAATGGATGTCCCGCCGGTCTGACGACTACGGCATTTACAAAATTGAAACGCCGCTGGAAATACGCACTATTAATGTTATAACAGTTTTAATAACGTCATTTACGCGTATTTGCAGAAAGTTATCTGCACAACGAACGTGGCCGTAACTTTGTTTAGCGCTTTTTTCACACGTGTCTTTAAAACATATGTAACTTAACATGTGTCGCAAAAACTGCATGTATCACACGTTACCATGGTTATAAAACCTCCCGATGTGCTGGCAATATGTACTTAATATATTCTTTTCTTAATCAAGAAGCAGATAGTCTAGTTTTTCTTTTCGGTAATGAAAACTTTGTGATAATAATTGATTGTGTTTTTTTATAAACTTAAGGTTTTGCTGGATTTGTTGTTCCAACAGTTGATGCCTCTTGTGTTTTTATAATCTGTCAGAAGTCTATCGTCGTGCGGATTTGCTCTTCTTTTGTCATCACGTGTCTTTGGAATCATGAGACATCTTTCACAAATGTTTTCATTGCGATGCTTGGTATTGACTGTAACAGTGTTGGTGTGTGCTCAAATTTATCTCGAACTCTCGGGGATGCTATATAGAAAAGAATTTCAAGAAGGTAAGTTGCATTTTTGGTAAGCAACGTGCAATGCCTTATTTTAATTTATACACTAAATAAACTTAATTTAGTAAAAACATAATTCGTAATAATATTCATATACCTCCAATGATACACTTAAATCATAAATTAGTCATTTTCAAGGACCAGTTAGAAGTTTCATTATCGCGATTTATAATTTCACAAGTTAAATGTTTTTTTTGGTTTGGTCCGGTTTTACGGCGTACCAACACAACTTAGGTCAAATTGCGCGGACACAGGAAAGATAATTTTGGCTAAGTTCGGGTGTTACAAATAAAAAAAAACATCAGGGGTCAAAACCATTCCACCTACTGGAGCTAAGAGATGCACTGACTTCAGTAATCCGAATCCATATAATTGCCACTTAAAATCACGTAGGGTACAATTACGTGGGGGTACAATCACGTAGGGATATAACGGTGGCTGCAATTCTGATGTCTCAATCCTTGAAGAGAACACTTCAGTCACAAGTCGACAAATTAAATGGATAAAAATAATAATCATTATGGTGAAAGTTAATGAACTATTTAATAAGATCATACCCGACAGTGACTTGCATTAATAAGCACGAATTCTTTATCTTGTTTCAGGAGACTTAAGCGTTACGAAAATTGATAATCATCATTTCTTCTCAATAAGCAATGGTCAATTTAGTGTGGTTACAGGACCAGAGAATATGTTAATGGAATCAAAATTAAAAGTTTGTGAAATTGCAAATTCCTGGCATTTTTCATATAATCTGCCTACAATGTCAACTGACTGGAACACTTGGAACTATGATAGAATAGTAAAATGTCAGAAACTTGATATACATAATATCACTTATCGAAAGAGTTTTATACATATACAATGCAAGACAACTAAGTTAAAATATGGGAACAAAATACAGACAGTTCAACATGGACATGATGGAAGTAAGTGTATTGACTATTATATAAAACATTGTTGTGCGGACAACATGGCAGTACCAAATATTGTGCATTATATTTGGTTTGGACTATCTCAAAGGTTCGATTTTTATGGCTTCCTAAGTTTTATAAGTGTTTTACGTTTTGTAAAGCCGTGTATAATATTAGTCCACGGAGACAATTTACCACGTGGTTCATATTGGAAGTTTATTTTATATATCTACCCAAAAATTATTCATGTAAAACGATCAGTTGAAATAGACGTTATTTTTGGGAAGAAACCATGTCATGTAAACCACTTTAGTGATCTATTTAGAATAGAAGCTTTGTTAAAGTATGGCGGTATATATTTTGACATGGATATGGTTCTTGTGAAGGAAATAGATTTTCTACGAAAATATCCATGCACAATGTCTCGACTACGGCTTAATACTATTGGTTCATCTTTCATAATGGCGGAGAAGAATTCTTCATTCCTCCAAAAATGGTTGGACGGATATAAATACCATTATAGGAATAGTTCATACATGTATAATGCTATGAAATATCCAAATTTACTGTCGAACAATTATTCCAATTTGATTCACATAGAATATGAGACATTGTCTAGGCCATGGGCACTTCATGCTGAAAAAGTTTACTTAAATATACCGTACAATTGGTCAGAACTATTGGGAATTCATTTTTACAGCAGGAGGCATACGGCGCCCGTAGATAAAAATATCATTAAGCAATTAAATACAACGTTTGGAGCTATAGCGCGGCATATTTTATATGGCAATAAAGAACTATGTTCAGACTGATATCGTTTAATCTTTCTTTAGAGAGGTACAGTATCAATGTTAAACGTAAAACAAACTGGGTATATAACTACAATTCTCAAGATATTTCTATCATCATTTAGTTTATACGAATTTATTTTAGTTTGATTGTTTGGAAACTATAAGCACATTGAAACACTCTCGAATCCGTTCCTGGGTTCAAACCAGTACTATGAAATACATGTAAAGTTTCTTGCTCAAGGAAACAACGGCTTGACCTTGACCGGGTTTGAACCCATGTGGCCAGCCATCATAGATAACTAGTCCGACGCTATTGACAACAAAGGTTCGTGATATATGTAGTCTGTGATCATTTTGATACAATTATGATAAAGAACAAATTTGCAACTTTGTATCAATCAATGAAGGGAAGCTTAAACGGCTGCAGAATGGGCTTCTAGAAAAACGATTTTCAATAACAGGAGTAGAAAATAAACTTTTATTATTGAACAACAATCATTTTATCAAGATATGTTTTAAATACATCAACAAATGACATAGAATGGTTGGTCTGAAAGTGATAGAATCGGCACTAAATGAATTATGTCTCTCGGATTGAAGCTCTCCGGTGACTTTGATAGGTCACAACTTTGTCCGTGATTTTTGTATACATATATGCAACACCAGAACAAAATAAACATTTGAAGATAAATTCTTGTTAAAGAATACGCCAGTTATCAAAGATTGAACATATAAACTTTGTCATGTCCCTTTGACAGCCTGCCCTGGAACAAAGTGGTGGCTGATCTGTGCTCTGGTAAATTGGCTTACTACTATGATCCGGAGTGAAAACTACCAATACCAATATTACGGTAATATTTACCTTTATTTTTCTTGGCCACATTTTTTACTTCAAAAATGAAATTTATACATACATAAATACTACATAAAGAAGAAACTGTACTGATGTAAAAATATTTATATAAATAATGCATAAAAATATTAAGCACTGTTATAAGGTTTATTTATTTGAACCATTTGTTTTCTAATGTATTGTTTTTCATGAAAGTATGTGTGACTCAATACTTGATTTTTCTATTATCGTGGATCTGTTTTCATTTCTGTCTATTATTTGTTCTGCATTAAGTTAGTTCGTTTGAAAATGATTTAAGTCGATTACCTTTTAACTTGTCAAGGCCTGAATGGGGCGGATACATATTTTATTTTTCAAGACAAAAATGTAACATTTATTGTCATCATCAGTCAACTTGATGCCGCACCAAGACAGTAAAGGTCATATGGCGACTTTCAAGCTTCATGTCTCTGGTGAAACACAATTCTTTTCAATATACATGTATATACGTATATGTAAATCTTATGGCAACATCCTATTTTTGGTTTCGCAGCGGCACGGTTACTTCTTTGCTATAGCATTTTTATATCACAGGTAAACTCTTGTTATTTTTTCTACAGCCCGTGTATCCTATTAGTACATGTACTAAATTGAGTTCAGAAATGCATACTTCTGTATTGGCAACGAAAATCGAGGGAAAAGTACAACAGTTAACATCATTGTACGATAAACGAGTATATACAGTAGAGGAAACAAATACGTAATCCCTAAAGAACGACTTAATGGCATAAGACTCGGTTTTATCGAGCATGTTCACGGTGGAGGGAAATGATCAATGCAAGCTACCGACCACGCTCTCAATTACCGACTTAAGCAGAATTCACAATTTAAACATAATTATGGTGAACATTAAAATTTAGAGCATCAACTGAAGTGATGATAGAACATTCAATTAAGACAAGTAAATTGTGATTAATATTCAGGTTATTCGCTCACTCCGTTTTACCTTATAAATTATTGTAATTGTGAAAAAATGTCCCAAAATTGAAGCGTTGCAATGCTTTTCACTTAAATCGGGCTAAGAATAGCAAACAATACGATTACCGATCTATTTCATAGTATATTTATCTATTTAGTTTTGTATATCTTTTTGCTTTAAGTGCCCCAGTTCATCTATAAAAGAAATTCAAATTTTATGTTGTTTTGGCTTTTGGACTTCGAGTGGAGTTCCTTTAAATACGAATTCAAAAATAAATGTTAAATGATTATGGCGAGGATATTATTTACTTGAAACAAAAGTCACGAATGCTCTCTAGCGGATAAAACAAACATTCTTGATGAAAAAGTTACACGAAACAGTTAAACAAATAGTCTATGTCCGTGAAAACGAAAGGAGTAATCTATTCAAGATATCCGAATTGCCAGATTATCCGCCTTTTATAAAATATTATATTGACGCGATGGATGAATTTTAATGACTAAATCGGCTATACTTTGAATTTTAAATTTTAAGCCTTTTCAAAAGAATGTTATAGGTTATTTATTTATCTTTTTTGGCTGATTATACACAATACACACAATTCATTACAGTTGTTTTTTTTATGATACTTAAATATGTCCTAGTGTCTGTAAGAGCAAAAATTGCATGCGAAGGATATGTAATTATCAGACTTTTATGAATTGAACCAAAAATTAAACAGACGATGTTTGGTGATCGGTGAATTGAAAGAATTGAAGTAAGTTTGATCTATTTAATTACGATTGTAATTTTGTTATTAACCAATTTAATTTGTTTTGCCACAAACAAGCCTAACGTTGGCTGAATTTATCAATTATTTATAAGCAAAAAAATGTGACATTCCACATTGGAAAAAATCTCTTCATTGGAATTTTTATAAGTTTCACTGTGAAGTTGTTCAATATAGTTTGTATTGATGTATCAGTAATCCATTCAAACGCATTTTTATAAAATAGGATCGACCTAGCTGGGATGAGTCCGTGTGCGGTAAGATCCTCAAACAATCACATTTTGTTCAATTGAGATTACATTTTCATGTTGTTCGTGTTAAGCAATGGAGAGCTCTATAATTATCTAAATGTTTAGGTTCAATAAAATTGCAACCACATATTTCAAATAAACTTGACATTAACGTTTTCGATCATATATGAAGAATGTGTCAGCGAAATCATTTAATGTTCGAACCAACAAGTTATTCATTCTCAATTGTAGGAACATGATTAACTGCTTTTAAGCTAATTTGTTTTGAGTGTTTAAGTTCCGACATTTGTAAGCAGACGAAATTGTCAGTTTATACAGAATTAATTTAAGTTCGATTTTGTAGGAACGTACATGCTGGATTTATTAAGGTTGTTGACTTCAAACCACTTGTCCCTCACCTCTGTATTAAGGGACTTTCATGTGAGGAAGCTATCCAGCTAGCTTACGGAACGTCGGTGGTTCTACTCAGGTGCCCGCCTTAAATAATATTTAATAATGTAGAAAGCTTCTAAAAATTCCTTACATTTATCTTTGATTCTGCACACTTGCTCTTGCAGTTTGCTACACGAAACCCCGGTCTTTACCATCGTTTCGATAGGATAACATTTGAGTTAGGTAATACGAAAATCCTATGAGAAGTTAAAAAGATGTAGAACAGACACAAAATTGTTGAAGGACGACCAGACAACACGGGGACTACGGGTATATGCAAAACGAACATAACTTTTTTCGAACTGCAATCAAGATTTGAAATTGAGTCTCCGTAGCAGCTGGCTTGTGACCCTTCATGAATGTATTAAATTAATATCAGTACTGGCTGCAAATATATTGATTGATGACATGGCTTCTCGACTCACTTCCTTTTTGCAAAAATATAAGTTATTGATAAAAAAATATGTACACTAATGTAAATTTTAATGTCCCATATTACTAGAGCTCGTAGAATATTAGTTCTTATCTTTTAACAAAGATTTTAACCTGGCTTGCATCTTTTAGGAAGAAATGAGACAACTTCAGATTATATATTTTTATTAACAAATCCATCCAAATATATAAATGAAAATTACAACACAAAGATAGAATGTTTACAATAAAAAGTTGACAATTAAAAAACACTATGTACACAGCATGATTAGGTTTATGAAAATAAGATCTTTTTTTTATTTTGACAAAGTTAATAAAGTTCATTCAAAGAAAATATATTTTAAACACAGATTATTATTTACAGAATGATTGATTTCACACTAATAGACGGTTCTATTTCAATGATTAAAAGAAATGAAATGAAAAAGAAATATAGGTCAACTGTTAAACAAAATTAATGTGTTAGACGATGGGTTTTGTTTCTGCTTGTTTTTGACATTTAATGTTTACTGGCTTGTGAAATCTTGCATAATAAACAACTGTTTAATTAAAAGTCACATAGGGTTTTTTCATGTATATCAATATTCCTCAATAATTTATAAGCAGATTACCTAAATTGACAAAAAGTAGTACGATATTATTTAAATTATTTCCATAGACCAAATATGTTTCAGAAACATTTTCATTCTTTAAAAATATAATTATGTGAATTTCTAATCTTATTTTGTATTAAATTTTGTAAATATAGTTCCTTTTATACATGTTATCAATTTATTAAGCTGATTATTTGTAAGAATTGATTAGTCTATGAATACGAAATACAAAATTCATTCAACAAATTTCAAGCATCACTATTTTTGTTTAATAAAACATATTTCCTACTTTTAATACTGTTATTTCTATATATGTATTACAGTTATATTCAAGTTTTCTATACCAAACTTTCATTATTCAATTTTTCTAAATGCATATAAAATGTCCCTAATATACCATACATTTTTGCATATTCAAAGCGTGTTGTCTTACACTTTACACTGTTTTCAATATAAAACAATAAAACCGTATGTTCTATTTTTCACACCATATGATGGTTAAGGTGTATCAGTGATACCCCATAGTTTACAATCCATATTTATTTCAATTTACATTATATTAGACTAAGATACTAAAAATGATCATCAGATAAAAACATATCATACCTCATATCTCTGGTAAAAAAAGACTAATTGTACTGGTAACAGTATAAATATATATTGTTAAATCATGTTCGAAACAGTTACAAATAACCTTTCATTTTCCCAATGTACTAAACATTTTCAAAGTCAATTTTGGACCTTCAAGTGTGGCCTTGACCTTAGGCCGGCACAAGGGTAAGATGAGTTCTGCACATTGCCCAGTTGGGGTAAACATTTGAGTAAAATTTGAAAAAAAATCCTTCCATTAGCATAGAATTTATAGAGTAGACACGACATTTTGTTTAGTA